TTTTTCCCCGTAACCAAAGTTGCTCATCCATTGTTTTAAAAAAGTACAGAATGCAAAAATATTTAACCATGAGCTGTAACTGCTGAAGTTCTCAAATTCACAAAAAAAGTGAAGGTGCAAAATAATAAGAACGAGTAATAGGCAAATTAGTAATTCAACTAATATATGCAGTCATAGACAATTTTTAGATACAGAAGAAGATAATTTTAGAATGTCATTTTTTAATTTTCATCATAACTTCTTTATAAAATGTGATTGATATTTATCAACATTGAGGAGGACACAAGGAATCATGGTTTGCTAGAACCATAATGAATCTAGAGTGCATATTGTACACATCTCTTCGTGTGCTATCACCCCACCACCTACGTTCAACTTATCCAAAGCCAGTGAAAAATCCAATCTGGTTTTTAGGGTTTCTGAACAAGATTGTGTCACATGTATTTGTGACAGCTGTCTTTGATGAAAAATCTTCAACATCAGAAAATTCTTCCTGTGCTTAATTATTTTTTTATTGGTTGCCTAGCTCTATATAACTTCCAGCCTTTAAAAATGGCAGTCTTTCTAACTGCTGTAAAGTAAGGGCCTATTTGTCTTCCTCCAAATGGTCAGTTTTTACTGGTTTTCCCTTTGAGAGGTAATTTATAACTCGAGACACTTTTTTAGGAACTTGCAACCTGCTAATTAACCAAACCATCTAGGTTGTGCTGCACATGGGGTATTTCCTACTCTTCCTCCGTCTAACGCGAAGTGTCGTGGATTCTCATTCTGAGCCTCTAGATAACAGCAGTTTCACTGAGTGAGATAATAAGCCTTGTTATTTAGGGCCTAGTTTTTTATGGGGCAGGCTTTGTTTCTCATGACCGATGTAGACATTGGATGATCTCCCCAGTGGAACTCAGTTGCATATATGGCACCATCTTCTAAGTGGAGAGCTTATTAGTCAAATTCTATCCTAACTTCTGTGAAACTGAGGCCTTTGTGTTGGCCTAGAAGAACAGTTTGAATCATCATTGGCCAAAATATGGTATATCAAGCTAAAAATGAGACATCTGTTGAAGCTGTTTTCTTTCATATGTATGGTTTGTTTGAGGGTTTATATCTTTTTTAGACTTATAAATTATTCTAGCACTGCTGTATGGCAAAATAACACATAACCAGAAATAATTAATATGTATAAGCTGTGTTTGTGCAGTCATGGCTAAATAGCTCTCATATACAGCTTTTGAAGAAAGAAAGTGTTTCATCATTTCTCATGAAATTAACATTTTAGAACAAAAGGAGGATCTTAGCAGTGCTTCTTGAGACCAGGATACAGTTAGTTTCTTTTATCATCTATAGTGTGAAGCGCTTGATAGCCTATCAAAATTTAATTTTGGTTGACTTATTAATAATAGAATGCTCTTGTGTATTGTTTGGAGGTAGGGATATTCTGCACAAGTTCATCAAGCAGTTCCTGTATTTAAATATCTTAATTACTTTTAATTGGTATGACATGCCATCTTACACTCTTGACATTGTTTTTCTCTTCTGAGGATAGCAGTGGTTGACCTTTCCCCTCCAAGCGTTTGTGACATTTATTCAAGGCTTTTGCGTTTCTTTTTGCCAATATGATTGGAGGAATATGGAATAACTGTAGGAAGGGCGGTTTGGGTAGGGCCTCATAAGTAGGTGCTTTGTCATGATTCAGTTTAACTAGATGAAATTGTTATAGACTTGAATGTATTAATTTTGTCTTTTATCATGATGTTTCACAGTACTCACAAATGGCCTCAAGAGGCACAAATAAAAATAAATTCAGTCTATCTGCAGAGTTCATTACAATGCTGGTTTTGGTTATTAACAAAGTTACGTTCAGTATGATTGGTGATTCCTTTATTACTCTGCCATCTTAAACAATACGTAAAACATGGTTCCAAGTTCTGAACCTCCAATTATGTGTCAGCATCTCTGGCTACAGGATTTAGAACAATAATAGCCTAGATCTAGTTATAGGTTTATTATAGAGATTAAGATTTTCATAGGAAATTATTCAGAATGTGAAAATGGCATCTTAAGTAACATCTGCATTAATTCATTCAAGAAACATCAATTGATTGTGTTAGATAATATACTGTCATGTGATACTATGTAGAATATAAAAATATAAAAGTAGCCTAACTTCAAAGAGTTTCCATTAGACAAGGAAAATAATGTGTATGGAAATTCTTATAATACTGTCAAGAAAGGCAAGTACATTAAGAGAGTTACAGATAAATCCTATTAAAAGTTTGAAGAAATACCATATTAAATTTGTTAGTATTATTTAAAGAGACTTCGTGAAGAAGGTGTCAATAAAGTGAAGCTGGAAAAAGTTTACTTTTACTGGAATAGGAGTTTTTGAGGCTGTATCGTGGAAGAGAGGTGGAAAGTTAGATGAGGTTTCACAAATTGCTAAACTTGAATACTAAGTTTACTTGGCATTTTTACTATACAAGTACAAGTTTACTAAGTATTTACTTGGCAATACTAAGAACATGGCATACCATTGAAGATTTTAAGAGTGGAAAGATATGTAAACAAGTCTATGCTCTAGGAGTATTATTTTGGCAATAGATACTGGAGTAAGAATGGGTGGCATGAGACTGAAAGCTGTGAGAGTAGTTAGGTGTCTACAGCTGTCCTGGAGAGAGGACTCAGGGACTGTTCTGTACACTTGGGCACATAGATCACTGGCACAGATCACATGCTCTTCAGGGAGCTGGAGAGGAAGAATCAGCAATCCTTGGTTTTTTAACCAATGTTCTTAAAAGTGAGTTCCAAGTGAATTAGCAAGATAGACTCTGAAAATGATTATATCATTTTTTAAATGGCAAAGGCAGGGAAAACAGGAGTGAGCACCATTTTGGACATATTGAGTTTACTCTGGCATGTGAATGTGTCACTTAATCCATGTGCACTATTCATGAGTTTTGGAGTTGTCTTGGAGTTATTGGAATAATGGTGAGAGAAAGCAAGGAGGCTGTGGGTGACTGAGCTGATGCAGAGACTTCATTTTCTGTTCCCATTACAAACACAGAAACAAAACAACTTTAAAATATATAGCCAGACTCAGAAAAGAAGAAAAGAAAGTCCCCAGATTTCATCAAAAAAATGCCGTACACATGTAGGTTGAGTTGATGCCACTAGCACATGGGGCTATCTGTGCCAGATATAATCCCTAGTGGCTTGAAAATGGGATTTTAATGTCTATATGGGAAAAGATAGATGTTCTGCTAAAACATGGATTTGGAGCTGATTATTCTTGGAGCCTAGAAGCACCTCCTTGCCAATGCAGAGTCACTGGAACCTGCACATTGTTCAACCCAAATTGAAAAATTAAGGTAGAAATGTGTCCAGGAACTGGTAAAGTCTGCAGGCAAGGGCAAAAATAAATCACATCTCCTTTATAGGAATTTTAAATAAGTCAAGACTCTCACAGAACTCCTACAGAAACTAAAATCACCATGAAAATGCACTCTCAGTAAAAATTATAAACCACATGAGGAAGCAAACTAGCCTAAAATAAATAAGCAAAAGAAAAAGGAAAGCAGAACTTTAGCAGAAAAGTAGGAAACAGAACAATCTGAAAAGGAGATTATAAATTAACCCTTTAAAATATAGAGGCAAAGGAAAAACCATGAAAAAACAGGTCCTTATGTAAAAAAAGTGAAAATGTGACAGAAAGAAACATTTTTTTCTAGAGGTGAAAAATACATTTATTAAGTGAAAACGATTCATTGAACAGCAGATTATGTATAGTTGAAGTTGGTATAGTGACTTGAAAGTAGGATTTGAGGAAATTGCCATAATGAAACACAGGAAGATAAATTAATAGAACTTTTGAGAGTGAGGTTCAGAGTTCTACTCTGCCTAGTAGAGTTCCAGAAGGATAAAACAGGAAAAATAGATATGAAAGATAATGTTTGATGACCTAGTGCCTAGAGGATTTTTAAAAATAAAGAAAAGCATTCATGTTAGTATTGAAGAACTGTAACAAGTCCTGACATACATGGTAAAATACAGAATAGTTGATATAAACAGATAATCCTAAATATAGACAAAAAATTGCTCTAAAATTACTGTAAAGTAACTATCATTAGACAGCAAAATTATCAGCAAAAACTGATAAGACCAGAGATAATGAAATAATATGTTCAACATGGAAAAATAAAATAACTGTCAACCTAGAATTCTATACCTAACTGAATAATTATACATTAGTGAAGGTGAAATAAAACCATTTGCTGAAAAAATAGTCTACAAAATTCCACCATTGCTGAAAGAACAACTGGAGAATGTAGTTCTGTGACAACGCTGAACCAGAAGTAAAGAATCAAAATTAAAAAACAAAAAAATGAAGAGCTTGCTGGTTGGGGCTTCAGAATAGAAAGTATTTGGAATAGGTCTGTGAGAAATTTAATCACCAGCCAATCAAAGATGGACAAAAGTACTGTGGCATAGTTTTGAGGGGATTTCTGAGATTAGATAGTTTGGGTCTTATCACTTTTTTTTACAAAGGAGAATCATTTAGTCAGCCCAGGTGAGGCAATATTGCTAATATTGAGTGGTTTTCAATTTTGGCAGAATAATGGAACTCTGAAACATTTAAAATTTTTCATGGGCGGATGCCATTCCCTGAGTTTCTGACTAAGTTTGGAGTGTTTCCTGACCCTCAGTATTTTTTTTTTTTTAGCTCCCCAGGTGATTCTGCATGGCCAAGGCTGAGAACCACTGTAGATAACAGACGTCTAGAGAACTGACTTAGCCACTAGTCAGAGCAGGTGATGTGACCTATTTTCATCATGAGGGAGGTCTTTTCATACTCATCAAAGTGTCTCACTTTTTACCAGTGGTTGGCAAGCTTTTTCTGTAAAGGGCCAGATAGTACTATTTTAGGTGGGTGGGTCAGATGATCTCTTTTGCAACTAAATGCTTATATTACATTGTAAAAGTAGCCACGGATAATAGGTAAACAGATGGGCATGGCTTTGTTCCAGTAAAGTTGTATTTGCAAAAGAGTGATGAGCAGAATTTGGCCAATGGGCCTTAGTTACCATCTTCTGCTTTATGGTGTTAAACACAGTCAATGGATATAGTTGACAACCATCACATTTGCTCTGGAGAAAGTAGCCTCATGTGTCAATAGGTTAAAGAAGTGGCCACTCGAAAGGATGGAGAGAAACATGTGAAAATGAAATGCAGTGGTTTAAGGTTATGGCATAAGGGATAGCTATGGTCAGGTAATAAGGTGGGAATTCAGGAGAGGTCTGCTTTTTATTGCTTTGTACTTGTTTTTTTGCTTATTTTTCACATTAAGGGATAAGAATGTAAATGGATGGCTTGGATTTTCTGTTTCATCACATCTAGATATTTTGGGTTCAGATTGCATGTACTTATATTTTCAATACATTATCTATAATTATTGTACCTCACTTGAAAATATGTATCTTTTTTCATCTTTAGCCACCTTCTGCAGTGTTATGTTCACATAAGTACATTTTCTTTTCACATAGCTTGACTAAATTTATTCAGATTATTCAAACCATAAACTTTGGTTATAGTAATTGGAAGAATCGAGACACAGGTTCCTGTCAAGCATAACTTTCAAATCTGTCCTTTTCTCCTCCATGGCCTCATAACTGCCTGCCTGTGTGTGCTTATTTATTTTAATTCCAAACATAACTTTTATTCACATTTTAATACTCTTGAAATTAGATTACATCTTTGTCAATGGATATGTATTGAACCACTGAATATGTATTTTATATTTTTACTCCAAAATATGTTACGAAATTCATAACATATCTTTCAAACAATATCATCTTAGGATGGTGGAAGTACAGTATTGTCTTTAACTCTCATGTTTTTGCTTCCTCTTTTCCTCTAGCAACCACTTTCAGAATTCCCAAAGAGTTACATTTCTGGAAAACAAATCTGATCTTGTCACTACTTACCTAATATTTTTGAGTAATCCCAAATCTCAGACTCCTTGGCACGGCATTCAAGGGCCTCTCTCCTCTAAAACCTCTTATATTCTGGCTCAATAAACTGGATCTCCGGACTCATTTCCTACCACCTTTCTCTCACTAATGTGAATCACTTCATTCTTGACAATCAGACACATGGTACATTATTTTAATATAAGTATTATAATATCTCTGAGGAAAATTTAATGAAATGGGATTGATGTTGAGCTGAAAATTGTTAAAACATGCTTTTTCTAAAACTTAATACTTTTAAGATGGAAATGTATCATTGTCCTTGCAGGAAAGAGTTGACTTTCTATATTAAATTGTTGAAGAAGCTTATGGAATATCTTTATTTGGAGCCTATTAAACACAGACAAGACAATTCTCTGTTTGAGATGATTTAAGTACACCCATGAGAGAGAAACAAGATGAACTTTGAGGTTGTGGCCAGTTCTGGGAGTTTTGGGGTGATTAATGACTACATCTAAATGAGGCCAAAACCTCCAGATGGGAATGAAGAGAGAAATTCAGTTTGCAACTGCATTTTCTCTCAATATGATTCCAAAGACCTGGATATTTAACAGTTGAATGTGTGTGTACTTATTTAAACAAAACTGTGTATTTTACTGGTGTTTTCTTCTCTGAATGTTCATATGTTGCTATAATATCAACAACCACACAAGATAAACTCCTGTTTATCTTATTCCCATCTCCTATTAAATAACTATATCAAATTGTAATTATTAAAAAGATAAAATGTGTGAACTTAATTGAAAGTGTTCCCCAATTGGTTTTATTTGATCTGAGAACCAAATAATAGTGAAGGTACAGTGTTAAATAAATTTACATGATGGCTTTTGACTCTCTTCATTTTTATAAAATGGAAATTAAGAAATGGTTTATCCATCATCCACATATTTATAGGGCTTTGTATTTTAAATTTAGATATGTGTCTTGTGCTCTGGGCTGTCCATATGAAGGAAGCATCGCACCACAGAAAGTGACAGAGGTAAGAGATGCCCTGAATTTTCTGGTTCATGGTAAAATGCTGTGAATTATTTTTAAAAGCAGGCTGTTTTCCTTACAATTTCTGATCTGCCCAACACAAACTAAGAAAACCCAGGAAATAGGGGACGTGTTTAATCATTTCACAGATAGTTTTGTTTTAACACTAAAGATGTGGACCTTGGCTATCACTGTTGAGAGCTAACATGTGAGTCTTATCATTTGTGTGGTCAAAGGTGGAAGGAATAATAACATCTGTTTTATGTTTGTGTCTTTAGAACACAGTAAATAAGCTCTCCATCAGACTGTCGGAGCAGCTTGTGCACACACTCACACACACTTAAACTTTGCCTTGGTCGCGCAGGTAGCGTCCCTTCGTTCTACCCCTGCACACTTTGGAACTCGTATCAAAGTACGCACGCTTTAGTGCTTCTCTTCCTTTGAGATCCTGTAGCCCTTGCTGCTGAGTTTCAAGTTGCTATTATTCCAGAGCAATTTTACAGCAATAGATTATAGTCATTAAGAACCTGCTTATTGAACTTTATTTTCTACTTCCTTTTCCTGTTTAATCATCGATTCCAATGAACAAAAAATGTTTGGTCTTTGAGATTCTGTTAGACTATCTCAGAAGCTCGTTTGCATGTGAAGTATATTAACATGCCCCTGGTGCGAAGGATGTTAATTTTTGTAAATTTAGTAAAATGGTACTGAAGCAGTGAAGATGGCATTGTTAGAAAATCAAAATTGAGGCTAGATAAACTTTTTGGCTAAACCACTCTTTTTTTGTGCATTCATTTGAACTTTTGAAATTTACTGCAGATTTTTCAAATGAGAGCTATCCTGTGGTCTATTAACTTATCAAGATCTTTGCACACAGAGGCAGATATATTATAAAATAATGAAGCTTAGTTTTGCAGTCCTTCCCTTGCATGGAGCCCTTCTAAGACTGTTAACCATTTGTAGTCAAAATTATATATTATTTCTTAAAGAACACTTCCAAAATGGTATAACTTAAGGATCCAGTGCTGCCTATACACCAAACCCTTTGCTTTTCTGCCTTTTGCTTTGGGTCACCTTTGGATGGATGGCATACATGCTCTGGCTCTTCATTCCTGCACAGAATGCCTGGGGAGTTGCTGAAGAGAGTCACGTAACAGGCAGATTGGAAACATGAGGAGTTCATGAGCAGCAGTGAGCCGTCTGTGTTCCTCTCCGTTCTGTGGCCAGCCCACTCTCTTACTTTCTGAAGTGACTATTGCAAACTGTGTTCTCTGTGTCCCAGCCTCTCACCCTCCTCATTTACTCCCCGGCACATTCAACTGCATAGAATCCCATTGACATGTGAACACGTTCAAACCTCTTCCATCCAGAATCTTCCCTTCTTAAGTTAGCATCCCCATCTTTTTATCGAATATCTGCATCTTTGTACATGTAAACGTCTTCAAAGGGCTGTCTACAGTGATGTCCATTTCCTCATGTGCCACTAAGACTCCAGGATGACATCTGGACCATTCACTCCACTAAAATCCCTTCTCATAAGATCACTACTGACCACTTGGGTTAGGAAATGCAGAATTTGAGACTCGTGACCATTCCCTCCTTCCTGACTCCCTTGTATCCCTTGACACCAAAGTTCAGGTTTTCGCCGACCTGTTCAGTTTTCCCTTGGATGCCTCGTTCTCCTTTACCTGGCCATTAAGAAATTTTTCCATTTAATAGGCAGTAGAGGCAAATGCACATGATGCTTTTTTTAACCCAAGTTTTCATCCAATAATAGTCTCCTTGCCTGAACTAGGTAGCCCTTCAGAGTACTTACTCGCTGATCTGTTTTTGATATTGCCTTTCTGAAACAAAAATCTGATTATATCACCACTACCCCAAATTCTGTCATGGCTTCCTATTGCTCTTATGATAGGGTCCTCTACCTGAATCCTAAACCTGGCTGGTTTGCCATGCTGTCCGTGATCTGTCCCCTGCCTCCCTCTCCAGCTTCGTGCAGACTCACTCCCCCTTGGCTTTAGCTTTCTTGTCACATCTGTCCTTTGCATCTGACTGTCTCCCTACCTGGAATGCCCTTTGCATTTTATGTCAGCTGCCTGGAACAACACATTAGCCTTTGCATTTGATATTCCACCTGGAACATTCTTCTCATACCTTTCCTTCTCACCCTCATCAGTAAGTTAATGCTTGCTTTATCTCAAGCTGTCACTTAGACCCTTCCTGCATGACAGATCTAGGTCACTGTCCTTTGCTGAAAGCTCTTGGAATCCTATTTCTTTGTTCCAAAATTCTTATTTTAGCTGTATTTACACATTCCTGAATGGAATTGATTAAGGTCTTTCCTCACTTGACTCCAGGCTCGATAACAGCTTAAGCCATCTCAATATCTGCATCTCCATTATGTCTCAGCAGTAGCACATTGCCTGGCATAAAATAGGCACCAAAGAAATATGTAATGAATGAGGTACAGTGTTTTGTACTTGTATCAGATTTTATAGAGTGATTATTTATATATTCTTAGTTCATTTTCACAACCAAATATCATTATTAACTTCGTCATTGTTATTGTAATTTTGTATTATCTTACTTTCTGAAGTGACTACCAGTAATAAGGCTTAGAAAATATGTTAAATAAGAGTGTGTGTTGTCAGTATTTTACAGAATAGGGATTGAGGTTTAAAAAGGTTAATCTTCTGTCCAACATCCCAGGACTAGCATGAGTGGCAGCTGAGATTTAAATCCAGGCCTGTTTGATTCCAGAACCCAAGTCTTTGTCCACATACCATGCTGCCTTCATGCAAATTCATATTGGTCTTTGGAAGGAAACTTGGAATTTACCTTGCAGAGTGCATCCATTTATGAGTCAGATACGATAAATGACCTTATCAGTACAAAGCTAAGTAGTGACAGAGCTGTAACTAGTATTGGCCCCTAATCTAATTCCTTGAAAAATGCTACCTCTAAAGTGCATTTTAAATGCTTCTGTTTGGTTAGAGGGTTGAGAAAGTAAGCCTCCCATAGCTGAAATATAGCTATGACTTCGTAATTGAACATGTAGGTAGGGAGGTAGATAATTATAATTTCAAGGCACACTTGAATATAAGAAAAAAAGATAATTACAGTAATGTCATAGAAAATTTTACATAATGCTTAGGATTTAATAAGCATGGAAAAGGGCCAGAGAATGAAAATATGTTCCACATGGATGCGTATCTGATCTTAGTTGTGATTTTTGCCTCTCAATGACATTTGCTAAGGAACAGCAGGGCTTGAGTCTGTTCATTTCCATTGTTTTACTAGCTCTTCACCTTTCCTGATAGGTCTCTAAGAGGCTGTATGCCATGGGCTGTTACGAGATCTCCCTGGGAGACACAATTGGAGTGGGAACTCCGGGAAGCATGAAGAGAATGTTGGAAAGTGTCATGAAAGAAATCCCACCCAGAGCTCTTGCTGTTCACTGCCACGACACATACGGGCAGGCCCTGGCAAATATCCTTACGGCCCTTCAGGTATGTTGCATTATTTGTGTGTATGTGTAAAGGTATGTATCCTTACTTGTAATAACAACATAGTAAGAACTTTGGTGAGGTAATATGTATATATTGCTATGGATATAATGTTTAAACAGAGCCTGCCACATGACAAGCACTCAGGAAATATTTGTGCATTGCACGTGTTTTTTAGGACAGTGTATTGATTTTTACAGTTAATTTGATTACATAGAATCCCTGAATATTTTCCTTTTAAAGTAGTAATCCTCTTAGAGCTATGTCTGCTTTTTTCAACCCCCATATGCTCTCAGCCATAAAATTTAATAGACTGAAATATGATGGCATTTGGAGGAATGCAAAGCACAAAGATAGTAGAATATACTATTGTACTTATGTAACTGATGCACTTTTTGATAATTTGGTGCTCTATCATGAGAAGATAGGGTGCTGAAATATAGAATATTTTGTTTAAGATGTTTTCCTCATGTTGGCAAGCATACATCTGAAAGAACCCCTGGTTTTTATCAACTATATTCAGTTAGATAATCAAAATGAAGAGATGTAGAGAGTTGGAGGATTAAGAATTGCTTATTAAATTCTAGTGACTCAGTTATTTTAAATGTATTTCTTTAAAATAATAGATATAAATGGCTTTATAGACATTATATTAGCATTAATGTTAGTTTCTATAACTCAACGAAAAATAGATTCACTTGATGTTATTAGAATCTGAGACTTTGACCACTAAAGATGAGACTCTATGAAAGCTTTTGGTAAGGATGAATGTCAGTATGTAAAGCTCAATGTCACTCTTCCAAAGTGTACAGTTGCTTGGCAAAAGTTGAAAAACAATGTGAAGATCAAACCCCACAAGGGCTTATTTTGACTTTGTAACATATGTGCACAAATCCTTATTTATCCTCTGGAAGCAAGCAAGGAACATTGTATTGAATTAGAGGAAAAAATGATATCCCATGGACTTCAGGGCGTGGGAATTTTTACAATTTTTCCTTCCCTAGGTATTCTAGTTTCTAAAACAATAGAGAACTAGGCATCACTTCAGGATTCTCTGTTCAGCTGCAACTGCAACTGATTAAGTATCCCTGACCAACAAATTCCTGAAGAGGTCGGTCCATTTGTCTGTCTCTGCCTGTCTCTCTCATTCTTGTGTGCATACTTCTTTTTATAGATACATCCTCTATATGGTAACACTTTGAGTAGTATTTTATTTGTGTAGCATATTTATTATATAATGAATGATAGTTTAGTTCTTTGGGATATAGGCTATAGTGCAAAATCTGAGAACCCAGACTTTGGCTTCTGGAAACTATCTGCTTCTTGAAAATGACCCACTAAAAAATATTGCTGATATCCCATTGGGATTCTAATGGTTGAGAAGGCATATCTGAGGAAGGAATGTTTAAAATCAGATATAAAGAATGAGAAGGTACTGGCCTCAATAAGGAGTGTGTGCGCTAATGTGTGTGTGTGCACAGACGTGTGCTAGTGTGTGGGAAGAATAGTTCCAATAGATGAAGCATCACTTGAGCCAAAGGCCTTGGGAGAGGGGACGATAGTACCCGAGGGATTGAAAGAAGACCATGTTTTCAGAGAAGCAAAAGCTGAAGAGCATTTGCTGAATTAGTGAAAGAGTCTCTGTGGAGAGGTGAGGACCGAAATCCTGGGGCTTTCACCCATCCTGTAACAGCTACACGGAGGACAGGAAACAGCCTTGTGCCGAAGCAAGGTGGGGAGCAGGGATGAGAAGCCATGTAAGGCTGAAACCTGCCTCCCCTCAAATAAAAATAAAATACCAGACCCTCAGTGAAAAGGTGAACCAGCAAAATCCACCTCACAAAGGGAGAGGACAAGCTTATTGAATTCTCATGGCCTTGGTTGTGGGTAGAGGGAAAATACAGTCCCCTTAGTATTTCATGACCTTTTGTCAACCCCAGTGTAGGTTAGGGTTCAACTCACAGTGCCTACAGAATTTGAAAGGCCCAAGCAGATAAATTATTTTCAAATGGTTGTGGATTAGTAGCACCTTCAGGTGCCAGAAAGAATATAAATCTTTTTGAAGGTGAGCATCTTCAACTTAAGCTGAACTATTCTGTGTGTGTTCATGCGTGCACGTGTGTGTGTGCACGTGCCGTCGGGGGGATGTATATTCTACTCTTCAGCAGCTCCTGTGGTAGTTGGAGGAAGTGTCTACAAGTATTCATAACTGTTTTCTGTTCTTTCCTGTGTGCACAAGCTCTAAGTGTCTACTGGAAGCAGGAGGGCAGAAGGGAGCCTAGGCACCTGGGAAAGCCACAGCGTGCTTCCAGCATGCCCCAGAGCTCCTGCTGGGGTCTCAGGGTGAATGGGCGGAGAAGAGTAACTGGCTTGTGTAACAAGCAACATGACGTGAGGCTGGAGGAGCTAGTTTAAATGAACAATAAAGGAAATGGTCAAAAAACTGCCTTGCTGTCTATACTAATAAGGTCGTAGACTTCTGTCTTTTCTGCTCTCCACTCTCATATAGTTTGATACACCAGTGACAGCGTAAGGAAGAAATACACACTGAGCTCTCTTTGGAACTGTGTAGAGCTGAGACAATCTGTAAATGTTCCAGAGCTTTCATGTTCTTGACGGCAGCTCAGTGCGGTACGGGTTTGTCACTGTAAGCACACATGTCCTGGCCCCAGCAGTGCTATGGCAGAGTCCCTCTTACCCTTTTGCTCTTGTTTCCCATCCCCTCCCCAGCAACAGCAGCAATGAAAGGACCTGAAAAAAAAAATGCCAAGGTTTAAATAGAAAGGAAATCAGAGAAAGTCCTGCTTCATTATGAACAGGGCTAACCTTGGCTTCAGGAAACAGTGGCCATACTTAAAATGGAATCTTTGAAGTGGCTTCTAATGAAATTGGTGGTGGCTGCAGAGTGGATATCATTTGCTTTAATTTAAAGGGCTGAGGAACAATTTACAGTGCTCCAAACTGGGAGTTAATATTAAGGCAAAGAGACATGTAATAAGTGGAAACTTGGCCACAACAGTAGGAAACAAATGAGCTATAAATGGAACATCCCCCCCTCCGTCTGGAAAGCACGTACTGATCATGCAAAAGAGGGATCTTTCTTGGGTTCCCAGGTCTTATGACTGTATTTTTTTGTATTACTTAAACATATGACTTATACAACTATAGATGGTTGTATAGAAGTTAAGAATTCATAATTATCAGATATTACTTAATATAGAGAATAATTCTGAGACTATAGATTCAAAAGGATATTTACAACCACTCAAAACTAGAAAAGCAAGAAAATGAGGTGGCAAAGCATACAACATTTTAGTAATGGAAAAACATACAGAGCCCAATATACTTGTCTTAATTTTTTATGTAAAAATTGAGCTTCATCCTCCTGCATACTCCCAAGTGCCTAAATAAAGCACCAGTGAACAAATTGTTTAATCTGCTTTATACCAAACAATTGCAGTCTCTGTTTTCCTCCACTCAGATGATTTGGGTCTTCATAACAGGGTAAAAACAGAATAAAACAAGTGAGATCCAATACTGCAAATAACAGTACCTTGTTAATTGGTAGCATAGAAATACAGCAGCACAGGCAATATTTGGCTTTCTCCTAAAGAAATACTGTGTGCCTCTTTTTCTTTCCAACCTAATAGATTCTTAGCTAATGTGCCTTTCTTCATAATGTTTTCCATATGTTTATTACTATTTTTTCAGAAAGACCAAATTATTTACCTAATTTTTTACATCAAAGCATTCATTTTTTATATTGACTCTTATGAAACCATGTTTAAATGGTACCAAACAACAAATATTTCTTCATCTAATTTGTTTTTGAGGTTCTCAGGGAGAGTTTTTCTTTTCTTTCTTTTTTTTTTAATTCCAGTCATTAGCCAGATGAATCTCTCAGGTCTCAGTTTTGTGTCTGTAGAATATATACAGTGCTGCTGTCTCCCTCCTCAAATGATGCAAAACAGAGATAAAATGCCAAGTTTCTAGAAAAACTGCCTTGGTAAACAGAGCATTTGGTTAACAGTTTATTATTACAGTCATTACAATTAAAATTACTACTAATAACAATAATAATAACTTTTATTACTCAATTTATCTGTGAGTAGAGTGGGGAGACATAAAAATAAAGCATTGAATTACAAATATATTTTGTGAATACATGCATTAGAAATTATTCATTTCTTCAGTGTATATTAAAGAGCTAAACAGAAATCAGTGAACAAGATTGAGAACAAAAAGTTGAAAATTGGATGCCCCTACAGAGGTTTTGCAAAATGCATCATTAATTTATTCAACAGATACTTAATTTATCAGACACTTATAGATGTTAGATTCAAATGTTAAGGTTTCTGAGCAGTACTGATGTGAAGAAAACTGTTTCAGTTTAACTCAGTATTTCCAAAAGCATTTTGTGAAATAGTTTATGTTTGAATGTGTGATACACAATTAACTTTCTCCAACATGGTATTCTTTTGGCAAGTATTCTCATAGGAAGGCGGGATGATATATCAGTTATCATCAAAAAACAAATAAAGAGGGCAATAAGACCTATAGAATTTTAACTATCTAATTTTCTAGTGTATAGAAGCAGGGCTCCTGAACCATGAGAGTTAGTAAGAAAAAGATGAACAAAGTATTTTTTTCATACTTTCTTCAAGTGGTTGGGTTGCTTATAGCAGTGATGAAAAATGAGTAAACATTTTAATTATGAAGAAAAATGAGTAAACATTTGAATAATTTTGATTTTTTTATCTCTAACATCTTATTAATATGAACTTCTCTCTGATTTTGGCAATAAGTGATCAATTAGTTTTAGTTTTCAGAGATAATAACAATCTTTATTTCTGCATAGCCCCGGGTATTTTTTAAAGCAGGTTGGAAAAAGCTGCTTCTGAGCCAGATGGCATTTTAAACTAGCATTCAGTTAATCAACATTTAAAAATGACTCATGAAATTCTATTGTAATAAGCTAAAAATGAAAGTTTTAAATCTTTACA